AACAAGCACATTGATGTGAGGATGCACTTCGTCAGAAAGATAATCGAGCATGGAGAAGTCCAAGGGCTGAAGGTTTCAACTGATGACAATGTTGCTGATATGATCACCAAAACATTTTCAAGTAGAAAGTTTTTCCACGGTATGTAGTTGATAAAGCTGCATAATGAAAGTTAGTTTATTCCATGGAGTATCACCTCACACTAACACTGGTAGAGTCCTTCCATATAACGTCTTAAAATGTGTGGCCTTCAAAGATGCATGGTAATTGGTATTATACTAATACTCGGCCCAAGCCAACCACTTGGGCTAGTGTCTTGGTTTAAGCCTAGTCACACATCTTAAATAAGTATTTAAGGGCGTATGACCACCTTAGTTTTCCCATCTGAGTGAGGATGGTAAACACTATTGTACTTCAATCTAGTACATGTTTGTTTGAACATATCAAACTAGAAACTACTTTAAAAACACCTTGTCTCTGTTAGAGACTATGGAACTAGGGAAACCATGTAGCCTGACCATTTCCCTTATGAATAAATCAACAATATCCTTAGCAGTATAAGGATGGATGACAGAGAGGAAATGAACATATTTTGTTAATCTATCCACTACAATCATCACAATATCCGCTCCATTAACCTTTGGTAACCCTCTTATGAAGTCCATAGAAATGTCATTCCATGTTTGTGTCGGTATATGCAAAGGTTGTAATAACCCTCTCCAAGGCTCAAGTTTTGATATTTATTCCTTTGACCCACAATAGCAATTTTCTTGTAAGTCCTTAGTATCATGAGTGCCCACCCACAACAGTATCATGGAATACATGTAAAATCCAAGCAATTTTGGGTGATTAATTTGGAATTAATATCCTACCTTCATGATACAACCTACCACATTTGAGCTGAAACCAAGTTTGGCTACAAGGGGCTACTAACAAGGCTTGCACTATAGCCTTTAATTTTTCATCACTTTGTACTTCCTCCTCCAATCCTTCCCAAACTTTACACTGAATTGTTGTGATATGAGCATATTGAATCTATCTCGATAATCAGCTGCATTTTTTTCCTTACCTGGTTTGTATTTAACTTCAAAGTTAAATCCCAACATTTTTGAAATCAATTTTTGCTGATCTTTCCCCATAGTTTTCTGTTCAGTGGTGAACTTTAAACTTTTCTGATCAATGTGAAATTTGAAGTGTCTCCCTAGCAAATATGACCTCCACTTTTGGATAGCAATCATAATGGCCATGAGCTCCCTTTCATATACTGAATTTTGCTGAGCCCTGTCGGACAAGGTCTAACTCATGTATGAGATATGTCTCCCTTCTTGCATTAAGACAACTCATATTACTTTGCCTGAGGCATCAATTTCTAAAATGATCTCCTTTTCAAAATATGGCACAACTAACACTGGTATGGTGGTCTTGGCATCCTTAAGCTTCTCAAAAGCTTCTTGAGCCTCACTATTCCAGGTAAAACTATCCTTCATGAGTAACTGAGTTAAAGGCCAAGCAGTTTTTCCATAATTTTTCACAAATTTCTTGTAGTACCCAGTTAATCCCAAAAAAACCTCAGTCCTTTTAACTCCTTAAGAATGGGCCATTTTAACATGTCTTCTATTTTCTTAAGGTCAACTGATACACCTTTTCTAGAAATGACGTGTCCAAGATACTCGATCTCCTCCTGTGGAATTGAACATTTTTTCTTGTTAGCAAATAGTTTGTTGTTTTTTAGCACCTGCAAAGTTTAAGTCAAATGTTGCTAGTGTTCCTCCCTACCCTTACTGTATATCAGTATATCATCAAAGAAGACTAGGCAAAATTTCCTCAGAAAAGGCCTCAACATTTAACCCAAAGAGCACAACCAAGTACTCATAGTGGCCCTCATGGGTCCTAAAAGTTGTCTTGGCTACATCATCTTCCTTCATCATGATTTGATGATAGCCCGATTTTAAATCTAACTTAGAAAATATCATTGCACCTCCCAATTTCATCCAGTAGCTCCTCAATAACTGGTATAGAGAATTTGTTAGGTATTGTGACCTTATTTAAAGCCTTATAATTAGTGTAGAATCTCCACCTTCCATCTTCTTTTTTTCACCAATAAAACAAGACTTGAGAAAGGGATGGTGTTATGCCTTATGTTTCCATCCTGTACCATATCTTTTACTATTTTTTCAATCTCATTTTTGTATAAAAAGGATACCTATATGGTCTGAGATTTGGAATGGCAGGGTCACCTTGTATACAATACTTTTGTCCTCTTAGCTTCAATTTCAAGCATAACTCACCAAAGTTGGCTTCAAATGTTTCTTAGGATGGCCAACCAATCCATTCCTAGTACCATGTCAGACCCTCCTAACTCCATCAAAAAGAAATGTTGACTGAATTTCACCACCTTGCATCTGAAACTGTAACCCCCTCACACACCCCTTGATTCCTTACCCTTTCACCATTTCCAACTTCAACCACATAGATTGGAGTCTCTGCCACCTTAAAATATAACTGTCACTAACTTAGAGTCAATGAAATTGCTAGTGGCTCCGGAATCAATCAAGGTTAACACCTTTCTCTCATTCTTAGTTACCCATACCTTGAAAGATTTACTGGAAGTAAATTCTTCCCTACTTTGCAGGGACAACTGCAAAATCTTCAATTCTTCTATAATTTCACTATCCTTCAATGTTTCCTCCAGTGACTTCTTCATTCATTCTTCTTCCTCACTACAACTTTCACATAGTCTCAAACTCGTGTGTTTGAACTTACAAGTATGGTCCCTATTCCATTTGTCTCAAGATTTGAAACATAACCCTTTTTACTAGGGGTGGCAAAATGGATAGATTGGATGGATATGGATTGGATTGTTAATGGATGGATCAAAGCAATCCATTAATCAATTAACAATCCAATAAACTCTCTTAATAAAAATCCAATCAAATCCATCCATTAAAAGATAAAATCTATCTAATCCATCCATTAACATATTTCTAATGGATAGATATTCATCCAAAAAATTAATTTAAAAATTTTTAATTTAATAAGTGACAACATAATATCCAATTGATTTATAAAATGAGATGGATGGATTGAATCTATCCATATGAGTTAGTGAATGAATTGGATCAAATCCATTAAATTATTTTTTGTCTTATGAATGGATTGAATGGATATTATCTAAATAAATTTCATTACTACCTCTACTTTTTACTCCTTTCTTCCATATCTGCTGGGTCTAATCTTCTTCCTATGTATCTGTTAGTGTGCCCTGCTATTTTTTCTCACTTTCTATTTTACTATTACCCCTTCTCCAGGGTCCTTAAATTTATAAGTCACTCATATATCCTTCCACCCAATAATCTTTCTCCTTATTACTTAATTTTTTTCTTCAATTAACAAGGCACGATCCATCACCTGTTCTAGATCCTGACTGTCATAGAGCTTTAACTCGGCTTGAATTTTTTTCCTTTAATCCATTCAGAAAAATAGACCCCAAAATACCTCTCTCTTCTCTACGTAACGGAGCTACTAATTGTTCAAACTTGTCTCTATATTCCATGGTCATCTGCTTCGGGCTCAACAATGGTCTCAGTGGGTTATGCAGCAACCCAGGTTGAAACCTTCTAATCACGACTATTTTGAACTCCTCCCAGTTCCTCAATGCTGCTTGTTCTTCCCACCATTGAAACCAGTTCAACTTCCTGTCCTCCATCGCCAGCACCACAGCATTCCACATGCATCAACCACCCATACGCTTCTTCTCCCTTGAATACCGGAATCTCTAGTCGTCTCCATACTCCAAAAAAAATGTGTTTCTCTAGTTATCATTATGATGATGATGTCGCGGTCGCGATTCCCCTGACTCTGTGATGATATTGCTTCCATCGCCATCGTTGTTTCATAGGTCCTCGCATCTTTGACGCCGGTGACGTCGTTCCATGTTCTTGCACGAGTTGATGTATTTGATCAACGAACCCGAGGTCGTGATTGTTGCTCTAAAACGAGTTGATATATTTGTTCCATGGATGCCTCCATGTTACCCATCCCCATGTTACCCATCCATTTTTCTATTAGATCAATACAATTTTTCATAGCGCTTCTCGTAACGACCATCCATAGGGAAACGGAACCAGGCTCTAGATACTAAATTGATAGGATCAATTTATTAGTCTAGCAAAAAGAGTAATCAAACAGTGATAAAAATAAAGAAAGTGATGAATATTATTAACGGAATAACGCTAGAGTTCATATGGGATCTAGCAAATTATATTAACATGAAAATGGAAAGAGAATATGATAAAATGGCAGCAGAGGATCCATGTTCAATTATTCCCTACACCACTCTTCTTATGTGTCCTTTTATGCACCTTACCATATGTATCACTCCCTAACAGTCAACCCATGCCCAATAGCTACAAAAATCTTCATGTTGTCACCAACTCCTAAATTCGATACCCCGCCTTGCCAATCTTCATCACTAAACAACATCAATATGTCTCACTTGTATATCTGGATAGCGAAATTTTTGTAATTAATGATCAAGATATTGTGAGATATTCAGTTGCCAAGTTTTCACATGATGAAGAATAAAGAAAACATAAAGTTATTCCCTTCATGCAACAACCATTATCCTCAGGCCCTTGAAAAAGTATGGAAGCTCCTTCGCTTTTACCTCTTAAATTATCAGCATATTATATATAAAATATTTGACTGACATATTTTGTTATCCCGTCAACTTTCAATTGAATTTATAGTAATTAAGATTAAAATTACAATATTTGATTAGGACACTATTAGATACGCTGGCTGCTGCCGGCTAGGAATTAATTAACTAATTTCATAATGGTAGTTGAATTGAAACAGAGGCATTTGATAACGCGTTTACATATTCAACTAAAAAAAAGTGATTAATTACACAAACAAACAAACAAACCTCGTAGTTACTATTTCTTCTCCATTTTAGTGCTTTTTCATTTCAGCATTGACTTCAATTCCTGTCATCAAATCAATGTTTACTTCAATTTCGAATCATCGAAGGATACACGACGTGTTCCTCAACTTCAGAGGCAAAGACACTCGTCGAAAAATAGTTTCTCATCTCTACGCTGCCCTAAAAAATGCCGGAATTAACACTTACATCGACAATCAGCTTTTCAAGGGTACAGAGCTGGGATATCAACTATTGAGAGGAATAGAAAACTCTCGTATAGCTATCATTGTTTTCTCCAAAAACTACACTCAATCTAGTTGGTGTCTTAACGAGCTTCAAAAAGTCATGGAATGTCACAGAACTTCTGGCCAATTGGTTCTCCCTGTGTTTTATAACGTTGACCCTTCGGTAGTTCGTCACCAAAAGGGTGATTTTGGAAAGGTTTTGAGGGCCACTGCAAAAAAAGTATACTTTCGCTCAGAAGGAAAAGAAAAGATGGAAAATATGTTGTCAAATTGGAGCACTGCACTCACCCAAGCTGCTTATTTGTCTGGTTGGAATGTCACCGAATACAGGTAATCATCAACACTTTCTACTTTCTTGCTTCTTTTTATTTTATTTATTTTTTATTTTTTATTTTTATTTTTTATTTATTTTTTATTTTTTATTTTTTATTTTTATTTTTAATTTATTTATAATTTGACACGGATATCACTATATTCATTTATGTGAGTTGAATCAGTTTGCTACTTTTTAAGAGTATTGCATCTATTTGTTACAACTTTTAAGAAAAATTAGAATCTAAAAATAATTAAAAAAATGCTATAAACTATACTTATATGGATTTTAAAATAATCAATAATATAGAAGATTAACCTAAAATAAAATAAAATACAATATGTGAATTTTATAGCTAAATAATTTTATTTTTTAAAAAATATATCAAAATATCTCACTTTTTAAAAATATTTCTAAAGTACTCCAGTTAGAGTTTGAGTTTACTCAAGGACACCATTTCAATTGGTGATCATTTGTTAAGGACATAAGGGTGTCGCCAATTAAATTGGAGACACCTCATGTAGTCTCCAATTCAATTGGTGACTTGGTTATGGACTTAAAAAGGTGTCACCAATTCATTTAGAGACTCTTTAGAATTTGAAATTTTTTTACGAAAAATAAATAATATTATCATTAATTAAAAAAATTATTACATAAACTAATGTTGGCGACCGAGTGGGTCATACCAGCCACCGGTTTCACATCCCTTAAACACCCTAACTCGTTGCACTCAACCTCCTCGTTGTTGATTCACGCCAAGTGTTTGAGGAGTTGAAGTCTCATGGACATTCTCAGATGACTCCCTAAGGATTTCTTGCATTTCTATTAGGTCTTGTGTGTTGAAACTGAGTGTGCGGCCCATGCCAAAGTAGTTCGAATGTGATGAAGGGGTTATTGGTGTGCAGTCTGGACGGTTGAAGAGGAACATTGATGTGAATGATTCGTTGGTGAAAGGTTGAAAGATAGTGGTGTTTGAAAGTCATAAGGTTGTTGAGATGGTTGAGTGTGTAGGTCAGGGTATAATGTCAGAGGGTTTTGGCTATGGAAAGTTATTTGGAAGTTATGGCTATGGTATGATGTACCCTCGTTATGGCTATATCTTGATGTTGTGTTGGGGCCATAGCCATATTGGCTATGGTAAGATACCTTGGCCTCTTGAGTTCTCATCTAGCAAGTCAGCACCCAAAAGTTCCTCACAAATTGAACCATGAAGGTTTGTTGTTCCATTGACCATATTGGAGCCATAACCATAGTTATATCTTAAAATTATTTGCCAATAGAGTACTCACAATTTTCGAATTACTCATGTCAAACTAGTCTAGCACCTTTTCGACATAGGTTTTTTTGAGAAAGCCATAATTTTCTAGCATTCTTATCCCTGTGAATTTCCATACCGGTTTTTTTCCTAACATGATTTTTTAGTTCATTTACATGACATTTAAATCATGTAAATGATTACCAGCAATCAACATATCATCAACATACATTAATAGGAAATTTAATGAGTCATAATCAAGGTTCATAACATAAACACAAAAGTCATACTCACATCTTCTATAGAAAATCTGAAGTATATATGAATCAAAGTGTTTGTACCATTTCCTTAGAGACTACTTTAAATAATACACAAACCTCTTAAATTTACAAACTAATCAGTCATGTCTAATATTACCAAACTCCTATGTTTGCTCCATGTAAATTTTCCCTTCTAAATTACTATAACGAAATATTGTTTTCACATCCATGACGATTTTCTCTAGAACACCCACTTACAATCGATGACCCTTCTCCCCTTAGGAATTTGAACAAACCCCCATATCTAATTTTTCTTCAATGATTCCATCTCCTCCACCATTGTACTTGACCGGTAAGTTAGCAAGTGTACTATTTTCACCGATGTAGTGATAAGGGGAAATTCCCCGAATGTCGATCTCTGAGGACTGCGTGTAAATTTTTAGGAAAAACTTGTTATTTCAATCAGACAAAATAACCTTGGGTTTCGTTTGGCAATAGGATATAGGAACAAGTAAAATAATAGACTTTATAGATTAAAATAAGATCAATGTTAGGGAAGTGGATAAATTGCTAGTAAAGACCTTAAAGAATTCTTCTGAGATATTTGTTTCCAACCTTAAAAAAATCAAATTTCAAAAGTAGTTTTCCTTAATTCCTTAGTGAAAAACCCTTTGATGAATTTCATGCACACTAATTCCTTAGTTGCCCACGAAAATCATCAAGCAATAGTTCTGACATAAAAAACACGTTGCTACGGGATACCCCCATTCCTAGGCAATATCAACCGTAACATTAATTTGCAAAAGCATTAGGTCGAATTTCCAGACAAAACCTAATCGTAAATCAAATTCTATTCTCCAATATGAATTAACATAAAGATCGTTGAAAAATAAAAGCCATAAGGTGAACAACAAAAATCTCATAGAATAATCCCAACAAAGGTCAATACATCGCAATTTAGGAACACCCCCTAACAATTACGGGTTTAGCCACTCATAGTATTCGATAAAAACAACATGATAATTAGAAACATTACAATGGTATTAGGAGTGAATTCAATCTTCAATTTCTTCCGAGCATGAAAATCTCCTTGTCCTCCCAATTCTCCAGAGCTTCAATCTCTCGTTGTACTTTTTCGTATAATTCAAAAGTCCCTTCTCTTTTGTTAAAACACGTATCAAATAGTCTCAATTCAAACTCAGTACCAGGGAAAAACCCAAAATACCCTCAGGGATCACAAGTGTCAAAAATACAAGAAAAATATGGAATTGGGCGTTTTAACCAACACGGGCCATGTCAGGCAACACGGGCGGCCGTGTTGGCTTTCTGATATCATTTTCGCATGATTTTTTCAAGTCCCAGGTGTCTTGACACAGGCCGTGTCACACAACACGGGCACCCATGTCAGGCCACTGTTTTCCACCAAAAATCACCTTTTCTGAGCAAATACTGCAACACGGGCCGTGTCACACAACACGGGCACCCGTGTTGTGCCCCTGTTTCGAATTTGACTTCGACTCCAACACGAAAGTCGTAGCTCTCTCTCTTAGCTTTCCGGCGGTTTTTAGAACGCCTCAAACGGATTCCCGAAACTCCAGTTATGATCGTTTCCGTGCAGACTGCTAAAGATTTCACAACAAAACTCTTCCGAAATCTTGCCATTTTTCCCCGGTTTTCGATCTGCTTCTCCTTTATTGTATACCTGACCTAGAAACAGTGAAAATACCAAATAGACGCGTAAAATGTAATAAAAACAACTAAAATGCGACAAGACAAAACAAATGATTAACTGAAATAAACGGTAAAATAACGTGTAAAAACCACCGATCAAACTCCCCCAAACTTAAACCATTGCTTGACCTCAAGCAAAAAGCTTGGATAAATAATTTTCAAGTCAAACAGCACATCAAGTGAAGGGTTCAGGGTGTAAGGCGTGTTGATACTCATACGTGAGTCTTAGTTCCGATCGGCTCAAACCAGCTCTCTCGGTACTCATCCGTTAACGAAGGCATTACATAAACACATACTGCAGTAAAATTACGGACCTAAATCTCCCTTTCGGCCACCTCTCCAACTATGCTTTGGGATTAAGTCTTTTCTTTGATTTTCTACCCCTTTCATTCGGATAATCAGATTAAGGCATGCACATTTTTGCTCGAGATTTTTTTCGGTGGCACCTTTATTCTTTTTTTTTCCCGCTCACAGGCGTTTATTAGTCCACTTTGGGACGACTATAGAGATTCAACCGCCGTTAGGCTAAATAACTGGGTGAGGGTTACCCAACTTAGAAGGACAGGTTGTCTTTACGTCTTTATTCACCTTTTTTTTTGGTACCACAAGTCATTTTCAATCATGCCGGACTATCACAATGAACTAATTGGGGAATACTTCTCAAATCCGAGTACTATGACACAAATCTACACGTTGGACTCGTTTCCTTACTCCGGGGAACCTAGGGTGTTCACATTATACCTCAATTTCCAAACTTTCCCTAGTTCCTTAGTTCAAACTCCTTTTCCCTTGAACTCTAAATACTCTCTTGACTACCTTACACACAACCCACACACAAGAAAAATTCTTTTACGGTTTTCGTAGGGGCGAATATGTCGTGGTATTTATCGAACTTAAAATAAAAAGGGCTTAACTTGACAATACAAAACGGTAAAACCTCCCCTAAACTTGAACTAAACATTGTCTCAATGTTCAAGAACAAGAGAAAAAGAGGTGTACTCACAGAGCGGTCGACAGGTAATGCAGCACCTCTTCGCTGCTACCACATTTTCCCTTGCAAAATCTCATTTATTCCTGCAAAAACAATAACCACACAAAAAGAAACAACATCAATTCATAAAACCGTGGGTTGCCTCTCACGCAGCGCTTCATTTAACGTCGCATGGCTCGACGATAGACTCCCCATTATTATGGGGGGTACTTCAGCCTCCAAACTCTATTGCTCGACTTCTTCGCAACAGAATATTGTGCCGGTTCAGAGATAAGAGCAACTTGAAATGGTTTTGATCGTTCTCCCTTCTTAGTTGTGTTGATCTTCCCAACTGAAATTTTGACATCTTTCTCCTTACCTTTCTTTCGACCCTCTTGAGTTTTTAAAGTGATTTCCTCATCAAAAAATTTCAAAGTGAGCGTACCTTTTTCCACATCAATATTGCACCGACTAGTAAGCAAGAACGGCCAACCAAGTATGATCGAATTTTCTTCATCCTCGGGTATATCCATGATTTGAAAATCAACTAGGTAAGTGAAGTTATCGATTGTCACTAGAACATCCTCTGCTAGCCCATATGCCATCTTGGTTGTGTGGTCGGCAAACTTCAAGCTTGTTCCCGTATCGCTCACTTTTCCAATATCCAGCTTTTTGAAAATAGATAACGGCATGAGACTCACACTAGCACCTGAATCAATTAGGACTTTCTTAAAAGTTCGATCTTTTATAGTACACGGGATTACAACTAGTCCAGGATCCTTCATCTTGCTGGGTATTTTCCTTT